GTCTACCGGGATTACCCGATACATGGAACGAACTTTTATATACTCATATCATTTCTCGTTCATGACTTCTCCGTCCTTATTCTAAGTTATGTTTACTTCAATTTTTAGTTTTTATATTAGTCTTAGTAAGAATGTAATTTATTTTGTTTGGGAAATACCACTCGTATGTTGAAAATTTTTACCTTCAATTCAATAAATTATAGGCACAGTAGTAATAAAATGTAAAAATTAATATTTTAGTTATGTTTACAAGAGGACTAATATAACAATTAGAAATATACAATTAACTAGGTATTAAATGAAAAATTAAGCAGATTTAGTTAACTGTAAATTGAGTAGTAATTATTATTAGTATTGTTGTTATTATTATTATATATGCTTCTCATTATTTAACGTATTATTAGGTTACCCTTCAAAGAAATGTATGTTATTGAGTTGATTTTTTCTTATAATTAAATATTGAATCAATAATTAACGAATAATACGGCAGTGTAATGCTTACACTTGTATTTTACTCTTGAAGTTCATGGTTTAAAACTCATTAAGAAAAAATAATTTGTCACTTAATAAGATGAGTTACTCAATAAAATCAAAAATTTAAGTTATTAGTATATTATTAATTAAATATCATCAAACTTATTGCGTTTATAAATGAAAAGAACATCCTATAATAATTAAATTATTTTAGTTAGAAATAACTTAAACGTTTATTTCATAAATAAATAAGAAATTCCAGATTATAGAATTTTAGATTTAAATTATTTAAATTTGGTTAAAGAAAATTCTCTCTTTATATATACACACACACACACGCACACGTGGATCTAACTGATTTAAAAGCATAAAATGAAGCAATAATACAATAATTATCAAAGATGGTTATTAAGAAGTTGGTAGGTACTTAATTCTCAAACGCGATAAACTTAATTTCTTTAATTCTTTCCCTTTTATTTCTCGTCCAAAAATTTTTAAAGTAAAAAATTGAAAGTGACATGTTCCAAACCTGCTGCTCTGGTTCGCTCGTTGGTTTTATTTGGTAACCAAACGACCATATTATATATATATATATAGATACCCACTTTCCTGCATGCAAATATATATATATATATATATATCAGTTTCTTTGTATAAATACATATAGATATATATATATATATATAATGGACTTGAAATAGCATCGATTTTCTTGGTTAACAAAAACTAATCACTGGAGCAGGTAGAACCAATTCCACAATTATGAAACCTGTTATCATTAGTGGAAAAAAGAAATCAATTTGTTGACTTGGCTATAAACTCAACACAATTCAATGGAGTAGTTGGGTGAAATTAATTGAAAAATATTTAATTATATTATACATACCCATAACTACTCTTCAGGTTTTTTTTTTTTTTCTTTATAGTACCCTTGTGAAACTGCAACATGTTTCTATGCATTTTTATTTGAAACACGAAGTTCCAAATAAATCGCTACATGGAACCAAGTCAAAATATTTTAAGATAGCCTTATCATCATTGTTTTTAGCATTAACCAGAGGTTTACATATACCATTGCTCTAGTGGTATTGTGTTTTTTTTTTTTTTTTCTCTTCTTTCTTTTTTTTGAATACTATAGGTTCAATACCAAATTACCATATAAAGATTTATATACAAAAAAAAAATAATAAAAAATAACAGGCTTGGGGTGAAATGCAAACTGCTTTTTCTTTATTTTCCGTACATCTCGAACACAGACATAGTAGTATCTTTATTTTAATATTCAAAAATGGATTCACCGTGTCCATGCAGGGTGCAGCAATTTCTGGTCTTGAACCTAAGCGCATGCTCTTGCAGTTTTTAAAATCTTCTAGATCGTGAAAACTGACACCTCAACTTCGTAGAAATGAATAGACAAAAGTAATTGCATGTTTGAAAGCTGACACACAAATCAAAGATGAACAATAAACTAATTGCATGAGCAGGTAGTACCAGTTCCATAATTACAAAACATGTTATCATTAATTGGAAAGAGAATTGATTTGTTGACTCGTATAAACTTTTTAGGGTTCGTTAACATATCAAATTCATAGGATCATAACTCTTTCTCCGCCGCCCGATGAAAACTTCTTTGTGACAATGAAGCAACCAAGTAACAGTCAGAGTTTCAATTATCTCTACCTACTTGGAATGGTGGTTTTTCTTGCATCATTTTTAGGATGTTCTCTCTATAAGGAACAAATAAAGAGTACTTGGTTCCAAGAACCTAAACAGCAGAACATCATACAAGAAGCAAGAAACTTAAGCAACCGTGCAGATCGAGAAACCGGTGGGACAGATGATGACCCAGAAAAGAACCAAAACAGCCAAGGACAGCTTTCTGTAGGAGAAAAGGAAGAGAACCAGGTTCTGCTGCCAATGAAAGAGTGTGATATCTTCACAGGAACATGGGTTTTTGATAATTTAACACACCCTTTATACAGAGAAGACGAATGTGAGTTTGCCTCAGAATGGGTAAGATGCACTAGAAATGGAAGGCCGGATTCTTTGTACAAGAAATGGAGATGGCAACCAAGGGATTGTTCTTTGCCCAAGTAAGTTTCTAGACCCTTTTTTTTTTTTTTTTTCTCCATTGTGATTATCTAATTTTTCATTCTCTTTAGTTCTTTTGGGAGATTGAGGAGCAAAGTTAATGACCTCATAAATT